AAAAAAAAATATTTGGGTTGAACTGTTCTGGAACAGTGTTGTAAATACTACTTAACCACTGATTTCTAATTGTGTCCTCTTTAAGAAGACCAAACAAAGTAGTTTCGCTTTCACAACGAAACAAAGTCTCCACGACATGGCGGCGGCAGCAACAATACTACAACGAGAATAAAAGTTACTCCTTTCTTTGTGTGAACATTTGGGCGGTGTTATGCAAATCTTCCCACACAGTGATGTAGAAATGTGGGGGCGTGTTTGAACGAGGCATTTTAGGAGGGCGTGGACGAGTCTTAACTTTTATAAAGAATATCTCTTTGGGTTTGAGACTTTAGTCTTTGCAACTTTAGGGATCTTATCTATTCACGAACAGCTTGTAACACTCCAAATAGAAAGGAAAAATTGAAATCGCATCATATGACCCCTTTAATGCACTTTGTAATAATGTTAAATAAAATACATTTTAAATCATTGTTTTAATAATTTTTTGTTGTGATTTAAAAGTACAATTGTTTTGATGTGTTGACTAAGAACGGAATTATAATCATTACATTTAAAAGGTAATATTTTCAATTAAAATTGCAACGTCATTGCAAAAGTGTCATTACAAATTTATATACATGACATAGAAGTAATTAGGAAATTACATATAAAGATGCACTTAAGTCCTACTTAAATGGGTCAAAAAGCTAAAGTTCATTGCAATTAAGTGTCTGAAAACATTACATTCAGTTTGCATTTAAAGGAATAGTTCAATAATTCTGTCATCTTTTACTTACTCTCATGTCGTTGCAAACCTGTATCAATTTCCTTCTGCTGAACACAAAAGATATTTTTGAAGAATGTGTGTAACCAAACAGTTTCTGGTCCCCACTGACTTTCATAGTATTTTTCCATACTATGCAAGTCAATGGGGACCAGCAAATGTTGGTTTCCCAACATTCTTCAAAATATCTTATGTTCCACAGAAGAAAGAAACTCACACAGGTTTGGAACAACATGAGGTTGAGTAAAAGCTGACATTCTTTTCATTCGCATATTCATATACAGTATTATTTCTGTAATAAATACCATTTTGTATGCTAAAGTGTACTTTTTACAACCACATCTGGTAAGTCTGTAAGAATGATAAAAAAAGAAAAAAAAAAGAAAAGATATTTAGTACTCAGACAGTAGGATGGTGTGACTGACAGGGTGTGACTGTTATTCAAAATATGGACATTGTGTTGGTCATTTCCTGTGATGAACTATCTTCAGCATTCACAGTCCTTTCAAATTCTAGAGCAGGAATGAGGAGTGTGAACTCCCTAAACTGGTTTGGCAATCTGTGAAAAACTGCCTAGACAGCCAAGAAAGAAATTCATTGAGATATTTTCACATTTTGGGATTCATTATTATTTATAATTGTGATTAGATTCATGGCAGGTTTAAAAGTCCACTTTGAGGCTCATTAACCAGCAACACATGTC